GTTCCAGAAAGCGCAGTCCTGTGCAAATTTGGAGAGATTAAGTTTTAATTTATTGTTGTCTTTTAATTGGGTTTCTATCAATGGGACTTGTTTATTGGAACTGCATTCCAGCAGAATTTAGGCCCGTTAGGGAGTAGTTAGTAATTAGGGGGACATTGTTCGGTTTGTTAGTGTCTCTTTTAATTTGTTAAGGTTAAATAAGTAAATGGTTACTTGTTACTTATAAAGTGGAAATCAGGGATGTTCTTTCCTTTGACCAATTTTTTAACAGATTAGGAGAGGCATGGTGAGCTTCTCTGGGTGTTTTGGGTTTAATTATGAGAGGGAAACCTCTATTCCTCGCCATAACAGACTGGGGCTTGAGTATTGATTTAATTATCAAAGGGTTCAATCTTCACCACCTTCCGAACAAACTCAAACCTCCCATACCTGGCAAAATCCTGGTCAATCCTTTCCGAACCCCCTCCAGTTTAATAATATCCTTCCTATAACAGGGTGACCAGAACTGGACACAGTACTCCAGAAGAGGCCTCAACAACGTCCTGTACAACCTCAACATGACATCCCAACTCCTATACTCAAAGGCCTGAGCAATGAAGGCAAGCGTGCTGAACACCTTCTTAAACACCCTGTCTACATGTGACACAAACTTCAAAGAATTATGTACCTAAACCCCCAGGTCTCTCTGTTCTACAACACTATCCAGGGCCCCACCATTAATCGAAATCTGCATCTCCTTTCTAACTGATTAAAGATTTGCATATTGATCCTTTCTAACTGATGAAATATTTAACAGCCATCTTAGGTTTGTTCAATACATTGGCATCAGTTCTATGGCCCTTTGATCTTTTGCTTATAAATTCTGTGCCTGATGCTGCCTCTCCCACTGACACCTGAAGGAGGAGCGAGGCTCCGAAAGCTTGTGTTTTCAAATAAACCTGTTGGAATATAACCTGGTGTCGTGTAATTTCTAACCTAGTCCACCCCCAGTCCATTAGTGGCACCTCCACATCAGGTGGGTTGTACTCACTTTAGCTTTGGCATCAACGTGGGCATTATTCTCCAGAAGGAAGCGTGTTACACCAGTCTGCCCAGCTCTGGCTGCCATGTGCAAGGGAGTTTCGACTTTCTGCATTGAGTGAAACAGGAGATTATTCCCCAATGGAACCTGCTCACCGTGACAAACACCGACAAACAGGGTGCCCCCAGGGTCCTGCCTTTCCTCCTGATAGCATGCCCAGTGATGTTGACCTAGTGACGGGAGAAGGGGCAGATTTCTGCCCGCTTGGGGAGGCCCGGCTACCCCCTGGGTGGAGTACACAGCCCACCCCACTGCACCATGACGCCATTGTGGTCACCCACCGATGCCAACCCACCCCACAATCCAAGCTGGCTCCCAGACAACTGAGGTCAGGAGCTGGGTGGGTGGTGGGGGGGCTTGCTGCCAGGGACAAGCCATCCTTCGAGCTTTCTGCCAGCGACGGGCCCTCCCCTCTGATCTTCAGCACCCTGACACCACGACAGCCAAGTGCTCTACGTGCTAAAGGCACAGGATGTGTCCGGAGGGCTCGCCAATTTCCGTCAAACACCTTGG